CACCCACCCTCGCAGGTTTTTGGAAAACTTTGTAATTTAGCTCCTACTCATGTTCGTAGTTTTGACAATAAAGCTTGTGATGTCTGTCATCGTGCCAAGCATACTAGAGACTCGTTTCCTTTAAGTGACAGTACCAGTTTGGAATCTTTTGCTTTAATTCATTGTGATTTATGGGGTCCTTATCGAGTCCCCTCGTTTTCTGGAGCTAGATATTTTTTAACAATTGTTGATGATTTTTCTTGAGCTGTGTGGCTTTATTTGTTGGATGACAAAAGTTGTGTTTCTTCTACTTTGACTGGTTTTTTTGCCATGGTGAAACGACAATTTAATAAATTGGTGAAAGTTGTTCGAAGCGATAATGGGACTGAATTTATGTGTCTCACTTCTTATTTTCGAAGTATCGGTATTTTACATGAGACATCTTGTGTAGCTACTCCCCAGCAGAATGGTCGGGTCGAACGCAAGCACCGACATATTCTCAATGTGGCGCGTGCTCTACGTTTTCAAGCTAATTTGCCCATCGATTTTTGGGGACACTGTGTCTTGACTGTCGGATATTTAATCAACCGTACTCCCACTGCAGTATTACATGGGAAAAGTCCCTATGAGGTTCTTTTTGGCAATGCACCCCCTATTAAACACCTTCGTGTTTTTGGCTGCTTGTGCTATGTTCACAATTTGGATCGTTCGAGGGATAAATTTGCTAGTCGGAGCAGGAAGTGTATATTTGTGGGCATCCTTTTGGGAAGAAGGGCTGGTCAGTTTTTGATCTTGACACTCGGGAGTTCTTTGTTTCTCGAGATGTTAAGTTTTTTGAGGACCAGTTTCATTTTTCTACGTCAACTGTTGTTAAGTCTGATTCTTTACCACTTATTTCTTCTACACCGTGGCCTGCTATTGATGATGAGTCTTCACATGCTCATGATTCTGCACCGACCACCCCTCTCAACCAAACATCCTTATCTCCCTCTGGGGATACTGAGGTCCAAGAGGGTTCTGCGCTCTTAGGACGTGGTCATCGAACGAAGTTTCCCTCAGTCAGACTGCGAAATCATGTTACCAGCACTATCATTCCCCCCGTTCATTCTTCGACCACTTCATCATCCTCAGGTACACCTTATCCCTTAGCTCATTTTGTTGACAGTACTAATTTCTCTTCTGCCCATAAGACCTTCTTGGCAGCCATAGTGACCTCTGTCGAGCCACGTACTTTTACCGAGGCCATGAATGATTCTAATTGGCGTTCTGCCATGCAGTCTGAAATTCAAGCTCTTGAAAACAACCTAACTTGGACTCTTGTTCCTCTTCCTCCTGATAAAAAGGCTATTGGCTGTAAATGGGTGTATCGTATTAAACACCGGTCTGACGGGTCTATTGAACGTTATAAAGCTCGTCTCGTTATTCTTGGGAACAATCAAGTCGAGGGTGTGGACTATACTGAGACCTTTGCCCCAGTCGCAAAAATGGTGACTGTTCGAACTTTTCTCGCTGTTGCTGCTGCCCGAAAGTGGGAATTACATCAGATGGATGTTCACAATGCATTTTTGCACGGTGATCTTGATGAAGAGGTGTACATGAAATTACCTCCTGGTTTTCGATCTCAGTCGTCTGATCTTGTTTGTCGTTTAAAACGTTCTCTATATGGTCTTAAGCAGGCTCCCCGATGCTGGTTTGCGAAACTCACTACGACAATATGGATTTCGTCAATCTTATGCCGACTATTCACGTTTTACCTTGTGTCGAGATGGTGTTCAGCTGCACGTTCTCGTGTACGTCGATGATTTGATCATCTCCGGCAATAACAGTGGTGATGTTTCTTCCTTTAAGGCTTATTTAAGTCGTTGCTTTCATATGAAGGATCTTGGGCTTTTGAAATACTTTCTGGGTTTGGAAGTAGCTCGCAATTCCTCTGGCATTTTCTTGTGCCAAAGGAAGTATTCTTTTGACATATTGTCAGAGGTTGGCTTTCTCGGGGCTAAGCCGACCTCATTTCCCCTTGAACAGAATCATCAGCTTCCGCTTGTCACTGGTCCTCCATTCCCCGATCCACAGAAATATAGACGTTTGGTTGGAAGACTTATCTATCTTGCTGTCACCCGACCCGACTTGTCTTATTCTGTCCATGTTTTGTCTCAGTTTATGCATAATCCTCTCCAGGCTCACTGGGATGCTGCTCTTCGGGTTGTGCGCTATTTGAAAAGAAGTCCTGGTCAAGGCATTTTCTTTAGCGCTGATTCTGATTTACGTCTTACTGCTTGGTGTGACTCTGATTGGGCAGGTTGTCCTCTTACACGTCGTTCTCTCACGGGTTGGATCATTCAACTCGGTTCATCGCCTATCTCCTGGAAGACTAAGAAGCAGTCTACCGTTTCTCGCTCTTCCGCAGAAGCAGAATATCGCTCTATGGCCTCTACCACTTGTGAGCTGCTATGGTTGAAATCCCTTTTGGGATGTTTTGGTGTTGATCTTTTGTCTCCAGTTTCTCTCTATTGTGACAGCAAGGCAGCCTTGCATATTGCCTCTAATTCAGTGTTTCATGAGCGTACTAAGCAAATTGAAATTGATTGTCATTTTGTTCGTGATGTGCTGCTGAAGGGTTTAATTGCTCCTCATTATGTTTCTACCACGACCCAGTTGGCAGATATTTTAACTAAGGCCTTGGGTGGACAAGAGTTCACGAATTTTCTCAGCAAGTTGGGCATTCGAGATCTGCATGCTCCAACTTGAGGGGGGGTGTAACGGATAATTTAGGGAAGATATTTTCTGTAGTTATCTTTAGTATCTATATATTTTCTATAGTTATCTTTAGTATCTAAATATTTGGTTTGATATTATCCTTATCTCTTGTAATCTATATATGTATTCTCCAAACTCATTCTACGGCAAATGAATGAAAACAGAAAAGAAAAACTCTTTCTCCATGTCTTCTCTTATTATTTTAGCATTAGACAATACTATTACTTAATACAATCATATAGTAGAATTTTTTCCTGATTTAATCACAATTAAAATATATGTCTGCAAAAATTCTCTATAACAAATAAAATTTACAGCAAAATCGAACTAATTAAACAAAAATGGAGAATATTATTCTGCACGTAGCGCAAGATAAGGCAAATCTAACACTTACGTGTTTTCATCAAACATTTTATGGCAAATCTTAAACACTTGCGTGTTTTTATGAACCATTTTTTTAATATAAAAAGGAGGCATAATAAAATTGATTGAAATTATTAACAACTACAATGGCGTATTTCAAGGTTGCAAAAATGGTGAAATGTCTGCTAATAATTGTTGTCATTGTGATAACTTTGCGCACAGCAGGTTCCTCCTTTCTTTATAAATCTCTATTATTTCTTTTTTGCAACTATCGTATTAACAAAACGTTTCTTTATAACCTCTTAATTATTTCCTTTTGAGTTTCGGGAGATTTTACGGTCCCGTTACAGAACCACTCCGTCGCGAGATTTGTAACCGTTAGATCAACTATCCATGACGGTTATTTGATGATCTAACGGTTACAAATCCTAATGAAATGATTCGGTAACGGAACTGTAACATTTTCCTGAATTTTATAGTTTTTTTTTTTTTTGGTAAATCTGAATTTTATAGTTGTTTTTGCGTGTGTGTGTGTGTTTTTTTAGTCTAGGGTTTAGGTTGTAGGTTTTAGGCCAAAGTTCACTTTCGATCGGAACTCTTCATCTCCATTGACTTGGATGGATTCACTGTATAATTAGCTTTACTAATAGTTTGTCTAATAAATAGTAATTATTTCTGATTTTAATATATCTATTGCTTCGAAAAAAATCTGTTTTTTTTTTTTTTTTTTTTTTTTTTTTTGTTCCAGTTGTTGTAGATGCCGATATAGGAGCATGCTACGGAACCCTCGGCGACAACCTACCGCCACCGAACGAGGTTATCGAGCTTTGCCGAGAAAACAACATTCGAAAGCTCCGTCTCTACAACCCTAACCCGTCGGTCCTCGCGGCCCTACAAAGCCACGGTGACATCTCGGTCACGGTAGGCGTCCCGAACGAGGAAATCACCGGCATTTCCCAAAACGCCCCTCTCGCCAAGTCGTGGGTCGAGGCTAACATCCTCAACTACCCGGGCGTCAACTTCCGGTACATTGCCGTCGGGAACGAGATTAGCCCGGCGGACCCCGCGACTGCAGACATCGCCCCCCACGTGGGCCCCGCCATGAAAAACATACACGACGAGCTCGCGTCGACAGGGCTCGACTCGAAAGTCAAGGTCTCGACTTCCCTAAGCATGCAAGTGCTCGGGCAATCCTACCCGCCGTCTGCCGGGGAATTTCGGGCAGACGTACGGCCAGAATTCATTGACCCAATTATCGAATTCCTAGTCGCGACGCAAAGCCCTTTGCTCGTCAATGTGTACCCGTACTTTGCGTACGTCGGCAACACGGAGGATATTAATCTCGATTTCGCCCTCTTCACGTCTACATCGGTTGTGATAAAGGACGGGTCGTACGAGTATTGGAACTTGTTCGATGCCATGGTCGATGCGATTCGCGCGGCCTTGGAGAAGGCGGGAGGGGCAAGTTTGGAAATTGTGGTGTCGGAGACAGGCTGGCCGACGGCAGGTGGGACCGCGACAAGTGTAGAGAACGCGTGTACGTATAACTCGAATTTGGTGGAGAGTGTTGAGAATGGGACTCCGAGAAAGCCCAGGATAGCTATAGAGACTTACATATTTGATTTGATTGATGAGGATCAAAAGAGCCCCGAGCTAGAGAAGCATTGGGGATTGTTTCTTTCTAACAAGCAGCCTAAATATCCACTCTCGTCTGAGAGTTCTTGATTTGATAGGGTTACTTAGTGAGAGTTGTTCTTCATTTGGTAGGGTTAGTGGGAATTTGTTTAGTGAGATTGTTCTTCATTTGGTAGGGTTACTTGTGAGAATTTGTTCTTGATATTATGATTCGTTAGAGTTGTTCTTGATTTGGTAGGGTTACTTGGTGAGAATTTGTTCTTGATATTACTTGTTTAATTTTCAAGCAGGTGTTATATGCTTAATCTTCGGAGAGTTACAGTTCTTGCTACTGAACCATTCTCTCGGGGTTTTGTAAAATTGTTAGATCAATTATCCCCGACGGTTTCATGATAATCCAACAGTTATAAACTCTAATGGAATGGTTCAGTAAAGAACCCAATGAAATGGTTCCGTATCGGGACCATAACATTTTTCTGATTAACAATATTAATATTAATAAGTTGAATTCAAGTGTTAACGACTTGAGCTATAGAAAATTACATAAAAAATATATATTTATGTTCAACTATTTTGTTATTAAATTTTAGAAAGAAGTAAGATAGTTAAAAATAATTTTATAATATATCTCTAAAAACATATGATAATTCAAGTGTCTGGTTAATGTACATTTTTTTCTTTATAAATACATAATCCATTATCTCAATAATCATATATTATTTCACTTAAATTAACCACAAACATTACAAAAAAATCAATCAAATATTTCATAATTATTATTTTTTGAAGTAGTAGATGAAAATTACGTCTAAATATAATTTTTTGAAGTAGTAGATGAAAATTACGTCTAAATATAAATGAGAAAATTATATTACTATTTTGATTGTTTTATTATTTAATGATGGGCTATAAGATCATTCATACGTGGGCTGGGCTTGTGGTTCTCAAATCCTGATCCAGATCCAAGAGGAATTTCAACCCGACCCGGCGCCTTTTGCCCCATTCTGAACTGAGAAGTCCCAACGAGAGAGAGACACACAGCGAGAGAGAGAGAGAGAAAGCCAAATGGGGAGCTCATCGACGGAGGATTTCTCAGTGGTGGTTTTGGCCTCCGATCTGGGCATCGACGCCCGGCCGTTCCTCACGCACTCGCCTCCGCCGCCGCCGGAGGAGGAAAATTGGCACGATTGCCCTTCGTATCTCCCCTCGGCCGACGACCAGAACCTTGACTTCTCTGATCTCGAGGCCCTCCAGTTTTTCCGCCTCGAGCGCGGCTCCGATAAGTCCGGCAATCGGATCTTCCGCGTCGTCGGCAAGTATTTTCCCGGTAATCCTCACTAATTCGTGCCTTTTTCTGTTCGTTGGAGGAGATACTTTTCATATTCATAGCATTTATCGATTTGTAAAAAAGGACGTTTGTTTTTTTGCTTAGTTTTCAGATTGGATTTTTTTTGCTATTTATACATTTGATGTTGTCAGGCTTGTGATTCAGTTATGGTTTCCATTTTCTTCTTCAAAGACTCATTTTTATCAGCTTAGGTTATTTTTGTGCCTTATTACTCAGTGATTTTGTTTACAGAGCCTAAATGGTTCAGTGGAAGCCTAGAAGGTTAATTATTACTGTGAGATTGATTTAACTCATAACCTTGTTATCTCTGATATATCCTTGCTATGTGAAATCCAGCTCCTGTAGTAACTGGGGAGAGACTGAAAAAATACGTGTGTCGTAAGATCTTGACCGAGTTGCCAGACGGCCCGTTCTGCATCGTGTACATGCACAGTACAGTTCAGAAAGACGATAACTCACCCGGCCTCACGATTCTCAGATGGATGTATGAAGAATTACCCGGTGACTGCAAAGACAGGCTTCAAGTCGTGTACTTCATTCATCCCGGAATTCGGTCGAGGCTTGTTTTCGCTACTCTTGGGAGATTCCTCTTGAGTGGAGGGTGAGTTGTTTATTTGAGTAATTTCTTTCTTTCTTTTTTTTGCTTGTCTCCTGAGTTTGCTGTGTAGTTTCCTGATACAATCTTTGTGGCTAATCTTTTCCCCGAATCTTGAAATGGGGATGGACTTTTAAGCCCGAAGTTCTTGAATTTTGTCTTTAAGGCAAATTGAAGAGCATGTACTTGTAAGAAATGAAAGTTCTTTGTTGCGAGAAGCTTTTGTCCTTTATATTCTGAAAGGTGGCCGGCCGTAGCATAGTTTAGAACCACATTATCATTTACTCTTAAATCTGTTCTTGGTTCGCTATTGTGTTTCTCAGTGATTAATTCGCCTGACTACGTAATTCTTAAAAAACACTGCTGTTTCATTTTCTAATCTGTTGAAAGTGTAAAAGTACAAATATTGGATTTGAGCTGTATAAGTGATCATTACATTTAATCTCACTGTTTTTGTTTCTGCCGGTGATAGATTATACTGGAAAATCAAGTACGTGAGCCGGCTTCAGTACCTCTGGCAAGATGTAAAGCAGGGAGAAGTTGAAATTCCAGAGTTTGTTCAACAGCATGACGATATTCTCGAACATCGACCCTTGACTGATTATGGCATTGAACCCGATCCTTTGCATCTCGTTGAAGTTCCTTCCACAGCTTACTCTTTTGGGAGGTACGAAACAGGCTGGGCATCCAGGGAGTGCCGGTTTTAGAGGAAAACGGGCTTTTTGCACATTTGCTATGCATAAGAATGTATATTGTGTTATACTGTAATGCTATACACACTTGCTTGTGTGGTATAGGAGCCGATATCGTGTTCGACTGCTCATAACCGACAATTTGTGGTGAGCTTTAATGTGTGATTAACAAAGCTTAAGCAACCTCACAGGGCAAGCACCAGCATAGTGCAAAAGGGCTATTATGTTATGTTGCTGGCATATTAAGTGGAAAATTGCCTATTTTGATGAAAGTGATAGTTATGAACCAGAGGTTTACATCCGACAGAGAAGAATTATTCCACCTAATATATTTATGATCTTAGTTGGTTTATAGACAATTTGAGGGTATAGTGAATTTTGGGTACATCTCACATCAGCAATGAATTTTCTACATGCTAATGTTGGAAATATAATATTATTATTTTAATCCGTTGAAATTAACAGATGCCAAAGTCTTTTACTTAAAAAAAAAGTGTACTCAGTTTCCCCATAAATTTTTGTCCATTTATTATTATTAATACAACGCGTATTACATGGGTGTTTGCTAATTTTTTTTCTTAAAATCTAAAATTAATGAAAAAAATAGTTGAAAATTTAAATACATTTTGTAAAAATATATATATTATTATATATTTAGTATGACACTTTTTATTTGTACAATTTTTTATCTGTGTTATATTATAATATTCTTTTTTAAATATAATTATATTAAATATAAATATATCAATTGAGAAATAATTTTATTTTACTAATGAATTTTAATAAATATTATTATTTTTTATTATTATAAGAAAATATAATTTATTTACTTCATATAGACAATATGGATATCAAATCAAAAATCATCAAAAGATGATTAATTTGATACATTATATATGTGAAACCGATAAGAAATACAAAAGTTATGAAATTTTAAAATACATTTACAATTCAATAGCTAATTGAATGAACCAAATCAAAAGTCAGAGATATATTAGTCACTTAGTGTCTCACTATATAAAATTACAAAGAATTAAAGGGTTATATAAGTACAAGTAATATTAAGATACCTAAGTTAGCTAAATACTCCCTCCTATTCATTATAAATGTCGTTTTGACTTTTGTGATTCATCCATTTTATTATGTATCTAGACATTAATATGTCTAGATACATAATAAAATAGATGAATCACAAAAGTCAAAGCGACATTTATAATAAACAAGAGGTAGTAATATTTATAGAATGTCCGAACCTAACTTATTAATTAGTAATATATCAATATTATTTGTCCAGACTTAATTACAAGCATGATTTTTTGTCAATTAGAATTTTAAAACACGAGAAGCAGTCACGTAAGCTCAGCGAATAAGATCAGCGTATTCGAAAATTATATATAAAATGAATTGTTGCACGTTATCTCGACTTTGCTTTCCCTTACAAATACTCTCGTATTTAGGGACACTGCCATAGGTACAGAGAATTTGTACTTTTTGTACCCATGTGGGCGGGTGTGTGCGAGTGTGATACCACTAAGAAAATCAGTGCTACTACCGTGTGCCTTGGTACAACAAGCAAGGTGTGCCAAGGCAGTTTAAAATGAACATGTTTCATTACAAAATGAACATGTGTAAACATATTTACACATGTTCATTTTGTAATGAAACATGTTCATTTTAAAAAAGCTTTGGCACATCTTGCTAGGTGTGCCAAGGCACACCTAATTATTTCCGCTAAGAAAACAGTGCTACTACCGTGTGCCTTGGTACACCAAGCAAGGTGTGCCAATAAATAATAAATCGAATTTTTCCATAACTATCACTGAAAATATATGTTTTCCCTGCATATATTTGGCTCAATACCATATATTATTTAATTTGATCATTCTACTACGCATCGTACTATATATATATAATAAACACACAAATACTTACACAAATGTTGAGAAAATCCATGTGTTAAGTCATGAAACCAATCAACTAATTAAGTGCATGTCTCAATAATCTCTATAGAATATCAATAACACCAAACGTAACATAGATAAATCCAACAACTTGTAACATTTTTTAAATATTGTTTTGATAGACTCAATAGAAAAGTATATGTCCACTCGAGTCAACAATACCGATCACGGGAGTACACTGAACCGCCTCCACGCCGGTTCACTGCAGTCGCCGTAGCATCCCCGCCGCCCTCTTTCTCCTCTTCCCTTGAAATAACCGAGGCCGCCGACTGCACTAGCTCGAGACAAAGCCGAAGCTTGTTCGGCTCAACGCGTGCCGCGGGCCCCCCTCCACCGGCCCCCCGGAAAAGGAAATCCGACGTGAGTGCTCGGAGCACGTCGAGTGGGCTCGTCCCGTCGGCTGCCCTCCGGTTGGGGTCCGCGTGGTGGTCGAGGAGCACCGCCACCATCTCCGGCGACACCATCTCGGCCGCCACATGGAGCGGCGTCCGGCCAGCGGGCCCCGCGGGGAGGTTAACGTCGGCCGGGCCGAGCTCGAGAAGCGCCTTGACGACCTCCCGACTGCAGTTCTCGACCGCGTAGTGAAGGGCTAAGGAGCGATCGAGGTCTAGGCCCTCGGCCA